GCTGATTTTCCGGAAAAACTGGCCAGTCTAGACACAGCCATACTGTGGGAACAAGTACATAATTTTTCCTTATTCACTTTTTCCACACCAGTCATGATTTTATAGACCTCTAGCATAACCCCCCCCTTAGTCTCTTCTTTTCTAAGCTGAAAAGTCCAAGTCTTTTTAGTCTCTCTTCATATGGGATCTGTTCCAAACCCCTAATAATTTTTGTTGCCCTTTTCCGAACCTTTTCCAATGCCAATATATCCTTTTTGAGATGAGGCGACCAGATCGGTATAGAGCATTCAAGATGTGGGCGTACCATGGTTTTATAGAGAGGGAATAAGGTATTCTCGGTCTTATTCTCTATCCCTTTTGTAATGATTCCCAACAGTGTTTGCTTTTTGATGGCCGCTGCACACTGAGTGGCTGTTTTCAGAGAACTATCCACAGAACTATCCACTATCCAGTTGTAGCCACGTTAGTCCCCATCATACTGTACGGATAGTCGGGGTTATGTTTTCCAATGTGCATTACTTGACATTTATCAGCATTAAATTTCATTCGTCGTTGTCCAATCACTTAGTTTGGGGAGATCCTTTTGAAGCTCTCCCCAGTCTGCTTTGGCCTTACCGCTCTTGAGCAGTTTGGTATCATCAGTTTCACGGCTTTCTACCAGCTGACCCTTTGCCGGTCAGTGCAAAAGCCGCGTCTGTCCTACCGCCCGCAACAAACCACTGTGCGCTGGCAGATGGGGATTGCAGCTTCTGAACTGGCTTTGGGGTCAGGAACGCTTCCTTAGTGCAGGTCCCACGAGGGGCACCGGTGCCAGGTTTAAATGGCCCCTTGTGGACCTGTCCCTCTGCGGCAAGTCCTCCAGCGACGTTAGGGAATCTAATGTCACTACATAGCAAAGGCACGGGGGGGAGGAGAGGCATTTTGTGCACAGAATATTTGGTGAATTTGTAGGGATTTATGTATGTCAATACAAGCTACTCTCCCTCGAGCAGCTCAGAAGCATCAACGAGCCATGAAATAACGTTCCCTGTTGCAGCCAAATGCAGCAGCGCTCCTGCAAACAGGATAGAGCACAGTGTTCCCTGGGAGCTGGGCGCTTGTGCGGCCCCTCAGGAGAGAGTCCAGTGCCGCCCAGCTGATTAGCAGAGCCCACAGCTAGATTTTTTGATTCTAGCTACGTGGTGCACATTGGCACATGCATCAATGCACATAAAATTTATTCCACACATGGGTGGAAAAGACTAGTGGGAACATGAATGGGGAGGTGAGATCGGGCTGCAGCCAGCAGGTCACAGACATCTTGTAGCATTGTCTGGGACCTGGAATGCATCCCATAATGTAAGGGACCAAGCGAACCAGCTCAATACCGCCCAGCGTGCAAGCTCTAGGAGGGCAGATGAAGGATCTTAGAACCGTGGGCAGCTCCCAAAGCACGCCTGAAGGGATGGCCAAGCTGTAAGTCCAGCAGGGAGCAGGCAGACCACCCGCACAGTCTGTTTATTGCTGGTAGGCAGCAGCCTGCCCTGGCCCTGTGGCAACAAAGGGTCTATTCAGCCTGCCATTTGAATTAAGAGCCACCCCCAGCTGCAGAAGCGTCTTCAGCGGTTACCTGCTAGACCACGTACTGCAGCAGGCCGGAGCCCGCGCTCCCACCTGGATGCCCCACGCCGGCCGGGCTGCGGAGAATTCAGCACTCTGCTCAAGCCCCATGGCCGGCGCTGGAAGGAAAACGCCCCCATCCCTACCCAATGTCCAGGGCTTGAGAGAGACCCAGGGTTCCCCGAGCTATGAGCCTCCCAAGGCACGGCCAGGCCGTTGCTGACTGCCCCTTGGATTCAGCATGGCGAACGGCATCCCAGAGCAAGAGACCGGGGAGAAGTGCCACCGGGACCGGCGATGAAGCCAGCCCTCGGCAT